AAAACTTACCGTTTTCGAAAAAAGTTTAAAAAACGTCAAATTTTGACCTTTGACCCCGAATAACTTTTTTAGCACACATGGGATCGATGGGAACTTTTGACACTTTATCTCTAATGGTGTACCCAAGGTCTCCACCAAAATTTAGCTCTGTCGGAATCTCCGTTATTTGACCACTATTTTTATGACTAATTTGACCGGACTATCTATTTAAATCTATGTTTTTGTTAGCACAAAATGTATAAATAAGTTTGATTGTATTAAAAGACCTGTATGTTAGAGGTTTAGAAGATTAGATATGTTTTGTCGAACTAATTATGTTTTGTTTTATTTATAATTTTCATTAATATAGCGAGATTAATTTAATAATTGTTTAGATAGAATTGAGAATAGTTTGCAACATTTTAGTAGAGCTTATAATATATACATATGAACAGTTCATACAACAAGAGTTAATCAACTTTTTTGCTCACACTAATACCTTTTAACACTAATACTGTTTTAGTTTTATAGTTTGAAACTCTTGTTGTCTTAATAGCAACAGTATGTTGCTGTAATTTTTAATAAAACTGTACCAAAATTTATACAAATACTGATACATTAGTTATTTAGCCTCAACCTAATTTAATCAGTTTGTTTTAAGAAAGATCATCTGTCTCATGGTTGTAATACCAACATACGGAGGGTGACATTCCGGACATACAACACAGCGATCTAATTAGAATGTTTAAGACAAAATTGCCAAATATTTGAATTAATCTGCCGAGATTTTGTCATGCAAACAAAAATATAACGACAGTTTCTACACTTTTACGACAAGCTTTTACCGTCAGTCTGTATATCTAAACTAGGTATAATATGAAATAATTTAAGTTTATTTCAATAAACCCATAACTGTAGATTTTGACTTCGATATAAGCACCTCATTAAAAACGTCAATGGAAAATTTATTTTTGTCTGTTTGATCAATGTGGCGCACTAATTTTGTTAAACTTTTTTAGATGGGGGTTGCTGGAATCAATTTATTGATAATACCCCTACATTGTTAGCAAATATCGGACAGGCAGCACGTAGACGTGACAAGGGATTGCGCTTAAACTCTCGTTACTTCACTCAGCTTTTCTGATGGCATGCGAATGGCACCGTCATTTGCCTTTTAATTAAAACAAACATCAATTAAGCATTGCAATAAAGTTAATTCGCATTAATTTGCTTTTAATTTATTGCTGGAATTTTTGGAAGGAGTTGTCTCGAGGATGAATTAAGAATTTGCATTTGAAAAATTGGTTCAATCAGAAGATCGCTTTGATGCATCATTAAACTCTTTGGGGATAGAGGACTATATATCGGCTTTAAATTTATAACGTTTCATTAGATCCGGGTTTTTGTAGTTTACAGCTGACCATAAATCACTTTCATCTGGTGCATGACGTGCTTGTAATGTTATTCACACTTTTACACTCTTTGAACAATTTCAATTTCATGACACTTTTTGATACAATGTGTCTAAAATTTAAGTTATAATTTAGTCGTTGATTTAATGAAATAGTTAGCATCTTGGATGCACCTCGACACACGTCAATAACACTACAACTTCGCTAAGTTGCCAGTTATTTGGAGAGTTTGCTTATGATACATACTGCACATGACAGTTAGTCCGTGATTTGGCCATTGTGGAATATTCAGCCATTATAACAAAATGACATTTAACCTTTAGATTTTGGTTTAATGAAGTTATGCTGAAGCGGAACAAACTTTTTAAATTGACATGTAGATGTTTGCCCTTTTGTTTTAAAATATATTTAAATGTTAGCTTTCAAACAATTTAGGATCAGCAAAAGTTAAGTTGAATATCGAAATGCTAAACTAACAACAACATAGGACGCAGCTCTCCTAAGTCAACTCCAATGTATATAAATTTCTTATTGTGTAATATCATTTTCAAGGTATAGAGAATATATAGTCCCATTGAAAGTTTTACGATATCAAATTGAAATGTTGCAGTTGCAGCATGTTTACTGAAAAAGTACACTTTGTTACCATTTCACTAGCAAATTGCGCAGGGAGCACTTTAATCATGACGCTAAGTGACCTTTTATACACACCTTAACAAGCCGTCACTTTTATGCGTATTAGTCACGTTGCTAATAGCAACTGTCATATTAGCCACGGGCTGAAGTTAGCTTTCTGTAATTCTAATAATTTTTCGAGTGTGAATCTGACTGCACGAAATGAAAATGTTGGGGGAAACGCGTTGTGACGCGAGTAGCAAATTTGTGGTCGACTGTAATTTAAATTTTGCCCTCAAGAAAAATAATACTTATTGCTAACTTCACCGAAGTGCTTTCTGTCAGTTGTCATTTAGTTGTCATTTAGACGGGGCTGCGGCTTGTGAAAAATGAATGAAAATGAAAGTGAAGATGATGTTTTTATTGGAATTTGCACTCCACCCGAGATTATCGAAGCAGCGGCCTCGGCAACTGCTACTTTGCTGCCGGAAAAATCAAAAAGTCAGTACGAACGTGCATATAAACTTTTCCAAGATTGGCGTCAAGAAATTAAATAAATTCTGTATCTGAGAATGTGCTGCTTGCATATTTTCAAGATCTTTCGAAAAGGATGAAACCATCGTCTTTGTGGACAGTCTACTTAATGTTGCGGATGACGCTTAATCTAAAAAAACAATGTTGAGATAGGAAAATATCTTAAATTGTGTGTGTTGCTGGATAAATCTGATGGTTATAAACCTAAAAAGTCGAAAAGAGCAAATTAAAGAATTCTTATCGTCTGCTCCTGACAAGGAATACCTATTTACAAAGGTAAACTATAATACCAAATTAAATTAAAATTAAGTACAAATATTTTATTTAAGTAATTTTTTTGTGATGATTGTAGAAAAAGTATAGTATGTAACACGTGTATAAACTTCTCTAGACATTCGTTTTATTAAACACTCGCTCCGCTGCGCTTCGCTCGTGCCTAATGAAACTCATGTCTAAGTGGCGTTTATAACACTAGTTACATAATATACAGGGTGTTTACAGTCTTGGAGTCAAAATTTTACCTAGTAATAAAAGAGTACAGAAATACTGTAATCGAGAAAAAAACTCATACAATTGTTATTATCAAGAATATTATTTAACTCCAAAATATTGGTACACGGTTTGAGGGTCACTGGAATTATTTCCTTGTTCAGACAAAATTGTATTGTTGCAACAGGTTAAAAAATCGTATCTATGACAATGAAAGAGAAAAGTCACTTCATAGTTTTGACACTGTTATCATTTGATTTCCTTTTGCTTTAGTTTTTATCAAAATTCGAAGATCTTCTGTTTAATCTCTTTCAGCGAATGGTTTCCAATAGGTTTGATTCGTTTTTCTTAATTTTTCTCCAAATTTATTAACATGTATGGCAAAATATTAAAATAATAAATTGGTTGTTGCAATTAAGATTATGAAGCAGCAATTCTCAGACAAATAGTGTAAAATGAAAAATTTCCTTTAACAAAGGTGAATTTTTGATTTATATAGCGTATTAGTTTTCTTTTACCGTGAATATTATCTCATTTAAATTTCAACCTCAAGACTGTAAACACCCTGTACTATTATACACAGTGAATCAAAAGTATCGGGCCATCTCTTGGGTTGTGATAAAAGACATCCAACTGAGTTAAATGTTTACTGATAAATAATTGTTTGAGTTTTTTTTCACGAGATATAGTTCTTCAGAGGTTAGATTTTGCAACATTAAACAGATACCTTTAAAAAAATCGTTACTTTGTGTCTTATGGTGTAAAAAAACATTTAACAAACATCGGAAATAAAAAAGCTACATATGAAAATTGAAAGTTCTGTTTTCTCTCGGAAAAAAGACTTGAAAAAAATCTGCATTCATTTCTATGCTCAGCTGAAAGTCTTCTATCACCATCCGAGAGTTGGCCTGACACTTTTGAGTCACCCTGTACATTGCGACAAAAATATGTTTGTTTGAAAAAGTCACTTTTTATTTAGCTAATGCAATTTGCTTTCTCTATAAAAGATTTTGAGACTATAACTTGCACAGCAGGTTATTTTAACAATTTTAAAAGTTTTGCTTAAGCATACGCGAGATAGTTTTAGTCAAAGATACCATGAACATAGGAAAAATGTTAAAAAAATTCTATCTATAAAATTTCGAAATTACGTAAGTTTAAATTTTGTACTTCAACTGTATTTATTTCTGTTGAAAAAAAATTTTTTCATGTTTTTTGCTACAGGCTATTAGAAGAGGCAACAAAGAAGCTGTATCCTAAATTGTAACCATGTTTAAAGTTACTTTATGGCTTTTAAATTATAGGCAAAAATTTTGTACTTTTACTAAATAATTATGAAAAAACATCTACAAAATCATCAGTAGGTAACACTAAATAAACATTTAAAAAAATGTCAAATGTCAAAATTTTTAGAATTTTTGAAACATTTTTTTCATGTTCTTGGTATTTTACCTTACTTAAAATTTTTGTCTGAGGCGCAAGTTCTGAAACACCCTGCACAAAATATTAAAAATTATTCTCGTAGGATGTAGTCTTTCCATATTTTCTTACTTGAGGGATTATTAAAAATTAATTAATTACTTGCTCTGTGTTTCTTGCTGTAATTATCTGCGTTTCAATTACGTTCTGTTAATTACATTATGTTAAAACTTAATTTAGTTTGACATTGTTTAGTTTAATTTGCGTCGATGCAATGCTCGTAGTTGTATATCGGTTGACAGAATATTGTTAATTACAATTGTTATTTCAGTTAAAGAATTTCAGTTTGTAATTTAAAAATTTGAAATTGTTACGGCATCCTAAATTTTTAATTGAAAGTTCACCAAATAAACATGTTTTAAAAATTGTCATGACGAACTTTACGAACAATGAAGCGTTAATCCCGAACCACGCCATAAAATGAAATTATCGCGTTCTTGGTATTATTAATTTTCATTTTTAATTAAAACAGACTATGAAAGGAGTCCTTACCTATAACGGTCGCTAGTATGATGAAACCCAATAGTACTGCAATTCCTACCATTGTGACAATCTTGATTGTTTCATCGTGCTGGTAATAATTGAAAGTTCTATTCACACTAAAGTTCGAACTGAAATTACTGTTCAATAAACTATAGTTCGGATATAAATATGAATCGTCGATTTTTTTAACCAAAAAATTTGAAGTTTCGTTGCCATCGAGAGGATACCACACGTCGTTACTTTCTTCAGTCGACGAAGCGATTGTTATGATATTGTGAAAAATAGTTGATTTTAACGAAAAATTCTCGGGAGGGGCCGCAATAACCGCCGGCTCTTGCTCTTTTCCAGACATCGCAGCGAGAGGTCGCCACAAATGATGGCTTCTAACGTAATCCATTTCTCCCCTAGAATTCAATTAACACTTCACATTGTAGTTTATTCCATTCAAGTTGCGTCGTTATTTTCACCATTGCACCGCATCTGTAATTGAATGAAACGCATTACTAATGACTCTTGTTTTAAAAATTTTGCTAACAATAGTTCAGTTTTAATTTCCGGGTCAAGAAGAGCGACAGTCTATGAAAACAAAACCGGGAATTTTTGCCGTAAATAAAAGTACAAAAAGATGTGGTGATTATTAAAGTTCGGTGTACAAAGGAGGACAAGAATTTTCATATAAATGAGAAAATCAGCTGCGGTTTTTCGATTAAAAAAACGCGATATTATTGCTTTTGAGAAAAAACAATTTTCCGTTGCTGAGCCGTAGACATGGTTGGATTTTTTGAGACATGTAAGAAATTAGGAGATTACGAGCGACATTTTCGTATAGACAGTCTGCCATCATACTTTCGAAAGCAAATCGGCTAAAACCGTTAAAAGCGAATGAGACAAGATAAGACCACAAATAGAGCATAAAAGAGATAGAAAAGACGAATTTGCTCACTAAAGCTAAACCAAAGATTATGATAATATGTGTTTTGTGAAAAGGAGAGGAGTGGTTTAAAAACATCCAAGCAGATAAGAATAAAACGTTTTTTAATACAAATAAAAAGGTATTTAGAGCAAATTAGAAATCGATTGCACTGAAAATTTCTTTGAGTTTTAATCTTGTGCCGGAGTTTATTCAAAGTATGGAATTTGCTGTTATATGTTCATTAAAATATAGAAAAATGTCAGAGTAGGATACAAAGTGAATTTTGCTGTCACAAGTTAAAAGTTCTCTGACATAACGAGTTAAAAGTTCTCTGACATAACAATATGTATGTGCTGCATTTTGGATGTCTGAATAGGGAATCTCCGAAACTAAGAGGTTTAGCCAAAAACGAGTGATACATTCTGGGGCTCATTTTTTGAGAATATATATTGGTGAAAACTGCATCTTGCTATCGTCTTTTGTTTTCGATTTACAGACAAAAGTTGACATTTTAGCGAAATATAAAAAAATCATATCTTTGTTCTTATTAAAGATACAGATGTGAAACAAAGACATTATACAGGCACTTGTTCACGCAGAACTTAATAATGTTTTTAACAATTTTTTTCAGTTATTGGTTTAGCAGTAATAAGACAAACTTGTATTTTTTTTTAAATAGGAATCATAGGTGGCTATAACATTTCTAAAAAACTTTTTTTTTCTGATCTTAAAAATATATATGAATATATGTTTTAAATGTTTTTGTTAATTTTTAAATAAAATAAATTATTTTTGGGTAATATTTTGACATTTTGTTGGTGATTGGCCTTGAAAACAAATTGTTATTTTGTGTGTCATTATCAAATAAGTATTTTAAAAATTTATTTAAGTAAAAATGCAAAATTACGAAAAAATTTTGAAAAAATGTCAACTTTTGTCTATAAGTCGAAAACAAAAGACGACAGCAGGATGCGGTTTTCACCAATATTATTTTCTTAAAAAATTAGCCCCAGAATGTATCACTCGTTTTTGGCTAACCTTTTAGTTTCGGAGATTCCCTATTCCGACATCCAAAATGCAGCACCCTGTACATACATTTTTGTGTTATGTAGGTATAAAACAAATAATAGAGGATTTTTTTTTTATTAGTTTAATTACCATTTCGAATTTTTTCATCTTATTGTTTTTTTAGCATTATAACAAAGAATTCAAGAAACCCACTAAGATAATATGTTTTTTGCTTTTCAATTTGAGAGACGTATTTTTAAGGTAATCTTCTCACCACTCTGGAACGGCTAAGAAAATCGCAGATACTTTTATCGTATTCAACCCTAGTACCGCCATAAACCTTCAGACACCACTTTCAGACAATAATACATACATTCGATTTCAAATATTTTTTTTGTATTAAATCTCACCTAAAAAGTTTTAATGAAAGCGAAATTCGACACTAAAATGTTTTATTTCATGTTATCTATTTATCCAAAAAGTGGCCACAAGCTCTAATTTTGCATGTAATATAATCATTTTGTTATCGTTAGATCCCTAGTAATTTTATCCCTCATATTAGTAAATTAATATGAGTGAAATAATCAAGATATTAAAATTAATAAATCAATTAGAGATAAGTGAAATTTATTTGCGTCTACACCAACTTCATTAAAATTAAACATACTATATTTTTAATCTAAGAATAGATAAATTTTTAGCAAGAAATGTACAAAGAACGCTTTTTTTCAATAATTGCTGATGCTTTACTCTATTAATAATGCAGTGGGTTTGACAAGGTAAAAAGTGAAGGAAATTGTAATCTCTCTGTGAATAGTACACGTCAAGTTAGCAAACGATTTCCCAATTTAGATGTTTGCTTTCAAACCTTTGGCTTAGAGACCTTATTGTAAAGCTCTAGCAGTTTCCGTTAGATTGATTTTGATCCAATCGATTTTCCCTAAACTTTAGAGAAGATTTATAACCTAACAATTATATCGTTTTTGTTGCTCACACAATAAACAAATTTTCAATTAAACCTGTCCCTGGACAATCATTTATAATTTATAATGGTCCTAATTAAGCTATTGGGGTGAAAATAATTATAGGTTGATGCCCAACTCTAGTCAAAAATTTGTTGTTTTATCTTATTGATCCGGCGAGGGTTTACAATTATTATTGATAAATTTATGTAATAAATTTTTCTTGTTATGTGAAATTTTTTCGAGTATTTGGAATGTGCAGATTACGTTGTCGACCGGAATATAAATCATTTGGGATTTTGTTATCAAATATAAATAAACCGCTTAATTTAACTGCAAATAAAAGAATTTACTAACAGTTTAATTTATATTTTATATTTATGAGCGGCAAATATTTATTTCTAGTTTTTGAGAGTAAATAAACATTAAATCCATTTTAAATATTTGGGGTATAAACACTTTGATGGAAATTTCATAGAAATGACTTAATCGAAAATATATGATGTTTCAAGCAGAAATCTTCGCCAAAAGCTGTAATAAATCTAAGAAAGTCGCTTCCTTTTACTACATTCAACTAGAAATGTTTGATTCATCACAGGGCGCTATCGCATCAAAGTGTTTTAGCTGAAATATCATCAGATTTGTACGTTTAAAGATTGCCGCGTTTATGGAGCGGAAGTAAACACAAAAATAAAAACAAACACTGAAGAAAAATATGTTTGAATAAGAAACTCAACTCATATTTAATTTAATTACTTTTGATGTCAAATTTATTATTCTAAAAAATAAACACACCCAGTTGGATAGTATATAGTATTTAAGTATTTGGAGAAGTAACAAAATAAATAATTAACATCTCATCAAACTAATTCGCGATTTTAATTAAAATTTAATTAAACTGTGCATACTTCCAATTAGATGCATGCACAACCATGACATGTTTAGAATAATAAGAAGACGCATTGTTACATAGTGTTTAGTGAAGAAAGAATTAGTGTGTAATTGAATTTATTTTTATTGTATTTGGACTGTTTTTATTCTTTAATTCTCCATATTAACGAAATTATTTAAAGTATTGATAGAAAAATAAAATATCAGGTGGAAGGTGTTCAATGATTTTAGTGATAAAATTCTTATTTGAAATGAAGTTGCGTGTTAACAACAGCAAGAATAAATTTTAATCAGTTTTGCTCTTTATGAACTTGAACAAGTTAAATTGTAAAAGAAAATTTAAAATTATGTTTCAAGTGGCTATTTTGAAATAAATTAATTAGAGTTTTGTTTCATTAATTAAACGAAAATTTTACTCAAATATAAAGCTTATTTATTTTTTATGATTGTTCTCTTTAATATTTTAAGGAAACATGTTTTGAGGTGTAAGAGTTAAAACGTCTTTTTTATTTGTAATTCAGGAAATGATCTTTAATTTTTGTATGTGTTTGGTAGCATTCTGAACGGCATAAATATTTGATTTCTTCTCAAGAGATAAAAAATATACACGAGTCTCAAGTGCTAATGACTCCAGAATTCTTCGAGACTAAGAATAAATTTAAGGATAACAATAGCGTCTGAAAATAAATGCAAAGTTTGTTTAGCTCAAGCGAAAAGATTTGGAACAAAAAGGAAGCGCTTCCGCCATTTGTACACATGTTGAAAATTCTTTTTTCCGGTAGGAATGTGTGTCGAAAGGAAAAAAGGATAATTTTATTTTATTTTTACTTGCCTTAACATTTTAGTCCTTCCGATTTAATTTTTTTCTAAAGAAAGCACACAAAACCTCTTAAAAAATTCAGAAAATCGAAAATGGTTTAAACGTTTTCGCGGGTCGCCGAAAGTTTGTTTTGATAACACCTCTCGCTCGCTGGACGCCCGATGAGAATCTACAAGTTTAACAAAACCGACGCTTCTCTTGTGTACGTCTCGACGCATACGCAAACGTATATCTCTGTCTTTTTCCAACGCCGTGCCGGCTGTGACGTCCTCTTAGTGCAACATCGTGTATGGATTAGGCCAGAGCTGGAGCCACAGCCGCGCAGTTTATTGATGGATGCTGTATGGACAGTCCAATCAAAACTAATCCTATTATTGGTAGTTTCTCTACTATTACTATCAACGCAAGCAACTTTAAAACGTGTGCTTAATGCATTATACCAAAATTCGGAGCTGTTTTGACGGAAAAAAGGCTCAACAGAGGACAGTCGAGTAATTAGGGATTTGCAGATGGATAACACACAGAAAGTAAACAAACAACAAGGCTAGAAAAAATAAAATTTAATTGTTTCGGGGGAAGCACTTGTGGTACACCACGTGGAAAAGTATTTGCAATATTGATGGGGTAATTCATTATTGTCATTAGGTAATTGATTTTGACCGGGGCAGATATTGGTGATGCAAATTCTGGGAAATGCCATAGGTGGGATTTTGGATTAACCACAATAAAATTTTGAGGCTGGCTGGTCAGAGATGGAGAGAGTGGTAAACTCTACCATCTGAATGAATCAAAAAGCTACGCTTACAAGTATAAGGCCGTTTCATTCTCCATGATAACTGTTTCTGCAGAGTGCCCATAAAAACAAAAAGACAGAGCCTTATTGTGCGCCCTCGGTGGTCGATTAACAAATCAAAGCTACAATATTAAATTAACAGCAGTTCAATTTATAAACAATCAATGTTATAAAATAATAGTATAAAATGATAAAAAGCGTGTTTCATTTGTGGGACAAAAGATGTTCGCTTATTTGAAATTCCAAGCAATATGCAACAAAGGCAAAAATGGTTCGAAACTTTTGAAACGTTTTGCGGTAAGCAAATTTATGCAGACAATAATAAGGGCAACCTTTTACTTTGTATTTTAATATTAAAGACACTACAAAAATTACGGATTACTCAACAAACAAACCACTTAGCAGAAAAATATTGAAGTTATAAATTGTTCTGACCTACCTCGTGTTATGTTTTTTTGCAATTCTAATTTATTAGTATTTTGCTAGTCTAGAATGTATTTAAAATAAGCTCGGATCTTGGATATTTTATAGCATTTCAATTGATGTTTTAAGCACTTAACCTTAAAAATAAAAAGTCTAAAAAGTCTCAATCGACAGATCGAAATCGGTAGATGGAGCGCAATAAGGTACTGACGCCCGAAATGCAACAGAAACAAAGTTTATATGGAAAAATCGAAAATTAAAACGGCCTTATAAGCGTAGCTTTTTGATTCAGATGGCCTTGACTCTATTTTTATTTTTGCTGTTTGTAATAAAAATTGTTCTTAATAAAAGGAATCAATTGCTTGTTTATTTACTAGGTATCTATCTGATGAAAACAATTAAAAATTAATGCTATTATAAGAGAGATTAAAAATGCAAGAAATTTCGAATATTTCGAATAAACACCAGACAATTTTCAGATGCAACCCAAAATACATTTACAGATACTACTAAGTGTTAGGTACTTGATATTCTGTTTGAATTTTTTCAATGATATAAACATAAGTAGCTGTGATAGCTTTGGCAGTTTTAATAAATAGCGTCCTACGATGTACTTTTGATGGGCATAACATTTTTGTAGAATTCTCCATATATCAAGGTCATTTCGGTTTTTTTGTCGTTTGAGTATACTTTGAATTCACGAGAAAAAAAAGTGGATTTGATAACATTGTCAAATCTAAAGAATCCCATATCAACAACTACTTTAGTTTAAAGTTAATAATCAAAATTTTTCTAACGTAACAAAAGCCAAGTTGTCTGCGAGAATGTATTGTGGGTTGCGTCTGAAAATCAGTTAGGGTCTTTATTATAAATTACCCAGCCTGTATGAGTGCAAAACTGTTTTTTAACACTCAAATGCTTTTTTGTCTGAATCTTCGGTCTCAACAAACAACGGCATATTCTTGCCTTAAAAAAAACACAAAAAAGTCGTTTTGCACACTTAATATAAAAATAACTATTTTGAGTGTTGTTGATAGAAGTGTGAATTTGGCCTCACTATTTTTTTTTTTATTTTTCCGGCCTCATTTTGAGTCTAGAAAGAGAGCTATTACGGTATCGGAGTAAGTGTAACCTAACAATATTTACCGGATTATTCTTACTTTTAACACAACAAAAAGTCAATTAATTTTTTTTGGAACAATATGAAATAAAATTACATTACAATATAACATGTTTATTTAAATGTGGCGTCACAGTTGGCAATGACTATCACTGCGTTGTGAATGGACCACAATTTTTAATACGCTCGGCGAAGTGTCAAAGGTCAGCTTAATAACTTTCGCGATGGTTCGTTTACAATCAAACTTTCATGGATAGCTTTGACGCCAAATTAAAAAAAACAGCCGTTACATCTGGTAAGCCTCTTATTACAGTACTCATTGATACTCTAATATTTATAACGTATTATTTTAAATTTTGCTTAGACAAGCTTGGTTGGCTAGTTGCGAAAAAATAAACATAGAGGACAAATATAGGTATTTTTTTTAATAATAATTGTTATAGCTAACTTTTTACGAGTCCCAAATGTTCAGCTACCTCAACTTCAAAAAATTTTCTCTCTAGCATGCTAATTATTTTCACTTTTTTAAAGTAAGAGACTGGCGACACAATTAAATATTTGTTAATTAGTTTTTGGCGTGGAGTTTTGAACTTTATATTATTTATTTTTAAAGAATAAGATTAACAATAGGCAAAATTACACAAGGAAACTATTTTTTTTTGAGAAAAAAATGTAATCTCAAAATGACATTACCTACCAAAATTTAATGCTCGTAATTGTACTCATAAGATACGTTGTCATTGACGACGTATTTTATAGAAGAGTGAATGTTAAAGGCAACATAAGAGATAAGCTTAAATACATCATAGAAACAGTATAAGATAGTAGCGTAGAAAAATATATTTTTGGCTAAAATAGTGTACATTGAATAAGATTAATATAGACATAGAATAAAATTAACAATAGACAAAATTACACAAGGAAACTATTTTTTTTTTGAGGAAAAAATGTAATCTCAAAATGACATTACCTACCAAAATTTAATGCTCGTAATTGTACTCATAAYATACGTTGTCATTGACGACGTATTTTATAGAAGAGTGAATGTTAAAGGCAACATAAGAGATAAGCTTAAATACATCATAGAAACAGTATAAGATAGCAGCGTAGAAAAATATATTTTTGGCTAAAATAGTGTACATTGTTTTGAATTAAACCTATATTGGTCTAAAGAAGTATAAATAAACTATGGATTGGCATTTATTTACTCAAACACTGATCCCATAAAAAAATTCCAATTTCTTATTGACGTTAGCGATCTTGAATACCTGTATTCGAAAATAAATTTATTAAAAAAATAAACTTGTTTTTATTTTCACAAACAGGAATGTTTGTACAAGAATTATAGCAATTTGGAAAGTTTGCATTGCTGAAACTTCCATTCCAATTTTGTCTTTTAATATCATCCTAGTCAAGTGATAATCCGAATTTTTTTGCTTAAATTCGGTGGCACGCACGTGTGATACAACAGTAAGTTTTATTTTTATATCTTGCATATTTATTATGTTTGCTCCAGCTAACATCGTAAATAGCCGGAAAATAACAAGCAAAAATAGAATTTATTTTTTCTTTCTGTGTAAAAGTGCTGATCGATAGGGTTTCATTACAGACAATTAGTGGTTTCAATATTCTAAATACAGGGTTTGGCCATTAATTTCTTAGCAGTTTGAGTGTGAGTGATGATGGATATGACATTGCCACTATTATTCAGAGAGAGTTTCGTTGCAGTAGTTGGAGTAATTTATAGTGCTAGTAATTTTGACATTTACATTTGTAGTAAAAATTGGTATTTCCAAGTACGTCGCTTAATTAATGCCATTAAGTTTAAAGTTTCTGTAACAATTTACGATGGCTTAATTTCTGGTTTACTTCAATTTGTATGCAGGTGTTTAAAATTAATACATAGTTGAATTAAACACAAGAGTTCTAACAAAGTAACTACATAGATTGTTACTTAATTGTTACAATCAAAATACTGGAACTACATATTTAATATTTTAAGAAATTGATCAACTGCAAATCGTATAAAGATATTGATCTACTTATCTTGTAGGAAAAAAGAAAAAGTGTTTGAATCCAACCGTCCAATCGGACCACTAATTTTGATGTCAAAGAGGTGCTAAGCCAGCTTAGTGACTATGTTGATCCAATTAGAGTTTGCAAAGGAGATTAACACATTATTAGAATTTATGAAGTCCAAAGAACAAAGTGACAAAATGCAAACAACAAGTGTGTAATTTTATAACCTGTACCGGTGATTAAAGTTGCAAATTGATACAATTTAAGTGACCATTTTACATAGGTAATTTTTCCACGAACGATCCATTTTAATTTCCAGCATATAAAACCAATTGCGAAATGTTCAATTTCTGGTAATTATCGAACAACAAAAGGTAATAATTTGAAATGGAGTTTTTTCTTTATTTGTGCTAGCAGATATTAATTAAGACATTAATTAAAGCACTACTAAAATTCTCTTAAATTATTTCTTTTCCAAAATAAACGCCAGCTTTTAAGGTAAAAAATAATCGTGTCGCATTTGCTGACGGGGAGTTTTTCAAGCATTGCTGAATGGTTATTTTTCGGTATCGAGCTTTCATTTTTTTCTTGTGTTGTTGGAAATAATTATACAATTAGTTTTGAGTAACAACACAAATGGCACAAGTTTTTTTATTAATGAAAGGTACTAAACTGTGTTTTAGTTAAATTTGAATACAATGGCGTGCTCTATTTCGACGTCAAACCAGACACTCAAACAAAGGCATTATTAAGGAAGGGTACGTGTTCACAAAATTATTGCGTGA